TTTTGTCTTGGCCCACATCCCGGAATCGTAACAAATGCAATTGCATATAATGGTTCAACAGTTTGAAAGTTATTTCCACTAAACATTCAAGTATAAATTCATAATCCCTTAAATCCCTAACCTTAAAACTTAATGTCTCTCTAACCTTATATCTTGGTAATTAAAAGACTGAAATAGTATCGCCCAATCTTTCACCATGAAACTATTCGTGGCGTAGATATCACGAAAATAAACCGAAAAAAATCTTCATGATTCTCAAGGTGTTGTATAACCCTGTACAACATTTGTAGGACCGTCAACTTTAGCATTATTCAATGTAGGTATACACACTTTAATTTTGTAAAATATACGTCACAAATAGTTTCATGGTAAAAAATTAAGTCATATTGTTTCAGTGTTTTCAGACTCCCAGTCCGATTTTTTTTTGTGGGGCTGTGTTATTAAAGGTGTATGTTTGAAGTACGGCTCTACATGGGCGTGAAACACCGCCTTAAAGGAAAGGTTAGAGGCGTCACAAGGTATGAAAGAGAGGCTGTTGTAAATTGTCATGTACCTCGCTTTCTATTTCATCCTCTCTATACATCTTCTCTATCTGTCCTTGTTTTCTCCTTTATTTATGACTTTTCTCTACTTTCGACCACTATTCGCCTATCCTTCTCTTGTCGGTTACTAATACTTCTATGCTGTCTTTCTCTATCTCACCACCTTTACACCCTTAAGAAGCGTGCCATCAGCACCATCAAAGAAAGTTCGAAAGTTGCTGTCAAGGCGCACATTTCGATTTTTCACCGTTTCATTCACCGTTTTTTTTTTCCACCGTGTAATTTCACTAAGTGTACGCCGATTAAAGGAATTGTATATATTGTATATAAAACAATAGATTCTACAAATTTTACAGTGTTTTTCAATCAACAATAAAAACCTACAACCCTTTAATTAGGATTGTTAGGAAGTTTCATGCGATAAAGACTCTGCCGGTCGAGATTCACCGAATCGTATGAAACAGAGGCGCCAATAAAAAATAGAAGAGATAGATTGGTAGATCTAGATTAGATTTCTGACCGCAAATAATTACAGATTGGGTTGCTTCAGTTTTCCAGAAATGCAAAAATTGATAAAAAAACGCTGTAGATGCATGTCCAAGCAGAAGACCCTATGATGAAAAGTAGTAAATCGATTGATTGATTTTAACCCCTAACGACCGGAACGACCCGGATAACGCCAGGAATTACGACTAGTATCTCATACACATACATAAATGTTTCTCATTTTAAAAAACAAACTTATAAATCCGTCTTATATGTATATAAGTAAGCAATTTCAATTGGAGAACAATTCCCTAAGGATAAGTTAGCAATTACTCTTCTGAAGAGGCAACGTAAACATACGCAAATTTTCTGAATACAAAACAAACATTTACTTGTTTACAAATGAGATGGGAATATGTTACTTGAGACCTCAAACTTGAGAAACGTTACAAATGCAAAATGTAGCACAAACTAATGAAAATTGAAATACTTTTTATTAAACAATTTCTGTATAACAACAAAATGACATCAACGATTTCATTCATAATCCTTTACCCTATTAAGATTTGCAATGATTAATTAAAACTTATCCCAATAAAGAAGCAGCAAATTATGTAAAATGCCCTCTGCTACCTACTAAAGATAATAATTTTCTAAATAATGAAATAGGTGCAAACCTGCTAAACCTGATGTTAAAATATTTCTAGTTTTCGGATTGTTTTGTAGTTTCAAATAATTCAAACAATTAAATTATCGTAATATGTAACGAATCGTCCTACAAAGAAATGTTACAGGATTTTCAAAATTTTGTGGTTTCGCACTCAGACGGTCCAACGATACTGTGAGGTTTCTAATCATATTAAATATGGACTTGAAATTCACAAATAGTATGTCAACTCTTGGCCCATAGACAAAAATGTCAGATAACTCAGGAAGGAGTAGTAGAGACATAAAACAGAGGATAGGGCAGGGTTGAGTCGCCCTTACAGTGGAAAGCAAGGCTTAGAAACGAAGAGGTTTTGGAAATAGGAGAACAGAGGAGTCCATAAGTCAATAAAAAATAGACGATAGGTTGCTAGGACACCTACTCAGGCATGAAGGTCTAATCAGAGACATATTAGAGGCAAACACAGGAGTTAAAAGGAGTAAAGGTAGATTTAGATTAGATTACTGTTCGCAAATAGTTAAGGATGTCAGATATTTTAGTTTCAGAGCAATGCGAAGATTAGATCAAGGTAGTAAACAGTGAAGGTGCGTGCTCAACCAAAGCAAGCGTTGGAGTTTGAGCTATTTTGTTTGTTCTACAACAACCGCCAAAGTTTTTCCAATCTTCATATCTAGAAATAGAAAAGAGTGGAAGTTCGTGTCTAGGCAGTCTTAGGACTGACGACCTTATGATGATGATAATGAAATGACAATAAACTATAACTAGTCAATAGTTAAACTTTTTTATTGGCAACAGTGAGAAAATATGCTTATAATGTAGTTAAAGTTTAAATAATCTTGATTTTAAAAAGGAACATTCACTATTTCTAGTAATAAATTTTCATGGTACTGTAAAATTAACCTTTCAAATTTATTCTTTAGTAAACATTTTTGTGCTTTCTTTATAAACAAAAAGAAAAATAAGTAGTCAAAATGTCTTTCCTCTTAATTTCAGGTTCAAGCTCGGACACAGGCGGAAAACGTCCCAATTATCAATTCAAATATATGAACAACTGTACTGACCAAATTAAAGTATTTAGTATGCAATGAATCTTTTTTATAAAGTAAGCACCCTATTACTTAAATTTATTGTGCACTAATATTAACAAGGTTTTCTTTTAGAAATTTTTACTGTATAAATAAATTATTTTGCTACCAGGACTCTTCCAAAAACAGCTTTACTTAAGAAGCAGCGAATTATATAAAATGCCGTTTACTATTTACTAAAAGACAATTTACTAAATAGTACAAAATGATACTCCAATATATTTGAAATGTTTTTAACTTTAAAATAAAGAATTGAGTTTTGAACATTATTAATCAATCAGTTTTTTAATTAAGTATCGATTATTAAAATTTCTTTCTTTATACAATAAGTACCTAACTATATTGTTAAGGGTTTTCGATATCACTTACAAAAATCCGCTGTGAGAGAGTCTGACTCTAACATCTTTTTTTTTTATTTGAATTTGGTAATGGATGTTTTAACATTATTTTTGCTTACAATATAAATCGTCTACTTTCGTGTCACTCGGAATCAAAGACGGTGCAGGCAAATGCGAAACAATTTCTTTGCGCAGATTCGCAAATGCGATAAAGTGTGCTCAGGAAAAGTTATCAGCCGTCTAGAAAACATATTGGCCATTAGCGACATTAAATTAACGATATTATCTGAAGAAGAATAAGGCGTTTAACAAGATTATTCATGTGTGTTTAAATCCCTTCCTCCCGGCCTTTCCAATTTCCCGTGAACATTACAATTTATTAACAGGAACATTGCACTAAATTACAATATACAACTTAAGTCTACTAGCCCTTAATTTGCTTGTGACGTAAACACTTAATTAAATCACATTAATATTTGAAATGAATAAAAAGTTTTCTATGGAAAATCATCACAGAGAAGATGACCTGGTGTTATGAGTCTCTTGAGCATATATTTTTTGAACTTCTTCTAGAAGTTTTATGGAAACGTAAATTCGAAAAATTTTATAAAATCATTCTCAAATCTCAAGTGTAATTCAAATAGTGACAAGCCAAACTATTCTAGCCTTGGTATTGGTCTTTTCTTGCTTATTTATTCTTGGTCTTATTTAAATACATCTACCTACTCTTGGTCCTGTTCATTTTTACGTTTTCTTTTATTCTTCTAAGCACCCCAAGTTTTATGGGAACGTAAATTTGAAAAATTTTATAAAAATCATTCTCAAATAAAGTGTCATTCAAGTAGTGATGAGCAGACCAAGACTGTCTTACTCAAACACTTCTAGTCTTGGTCTTGCCCACGTAACCTGATACGTACGCTTTTTTTCTTAAATTCTTCTAAGCACAAATTATCATTCATTATAAGGATTATTAAAGATATAAGACAGTCCTGGTCTTACAAAAATCCAAGACCAGGATCATCACTACATTCAAGCAACCAACAGTAAGATTTCCCAAACGAAAGTCTCATTCTTCCCTTCAAAGGGAGAAATATTTTTGAATTTCTTTTTGTCCAGAAAATACGACAATCATTTCTTGAATACCTAATTTAGTTTGTAATCAGTTTTTGCTATTTTCAAATAACAGTTATGTTATTAAATACATATGAAGATTGGAAAAACTTTGGCGGTTGTTGTAGGGACTGAAGAAGGTAACTGTAAGCAATTTCAATTGGAGAACAATTCCCTAAGGATAAGTTAGCAATTACTCTTCTGAAGAGGCAACGTAAACATACGCAAATTTTCTGAATACAAAACAAACATTTACTTGTTTACAAATGAGATGGGAATATGTTACTTGAGACCTCAAACTTGAGAAACGTTACAAATGCAAAATGTAGCACAAACTAATGAAAATTGAAATACTTTTTATTAAACAATTTCTGTATAACAACAAAANTTATTGTGGTATTTAGCTACTGATTTAGGGGTGTCAGTCCAAATTGTTCAAAAGCGATAAAACATAATATTCAATTAACTGCTGTTTGTAGAGCATTCAATCTCGAAATCTAAATTAATTTTATTCTAAGTTTACTAAAAAAACTTTTTGTTAGCAAAAAAATAAAAATTCTAACCCTCTTCATTTAAAAAATGGATCGGATTAAGGATGAAATGTTGTTGGTACGTTTGTATTTGAAATCTAAGATGGCAACAGTACATAAAATTAAAACTTTGTGGAGAAACAATAGTTATTTCTGCAAGCAAAGCCTCGAATAAAATCTAGTATATTTATAAGAATGTAACTTAAAATAAGAAGAAAATTGTATTATTACAAACCACTTACCATTACGATTGTCGTTCATTCTTGATTTTACCATAACTACACTAATTAACTTCATTTCACATTGTCTATTGTTAATTTTATAGGACACTGGATATTAGTTTTTCAATTTTCACCACGTTTACGTTCATGAATTAATCGATATTAAGAATTATCACGCGCCGAAAAACCGATCGATGCTAAAGAGCTAGTGATAGATAATTTAGAAAAGATTTCGAAACTAGATCTAAAATGTTATATTAAATCAAGGAAGAGTACTATTCTAATGTGATAATGAGTTTTACAATGTCTAGTTACATTCTATAGAGATTAATATACCTGTCTGTATCTGTTTACGCAACAAGGCGCTCCACAATTATGAAATTATGCAGGCTACAGCATGTTGAGTTAACGTAATCCAAAATTTTTTAAAACGTTTTTACACAAACTTTATCAAAGACAAATGAATGCTATAACTGTCGCAAACAATTTTGAAAACTATGAAGCCAATATCAAATTAAAGTTAATTATAATTCATAAACTTGTGTAACCTGCTCTATCACAGTCTTTAGCATGCTCGCGACTACACACATTCTAGAATATTCGTCCACGATCCACGATCGAAGCCCGAAGGTAACTTCGTACTGAATATGCGCGCAAGTCCTTTATCGATAAATTTGGCCCTTTCACAATTATCACAATAATAATAAACAGCAACGGAACATATGCAACCTTTCATACTCCATTAAAAGCTCTTCTGAAAGCTAACCGAACCAGCATAAGAATTTTCATAAACAACATTAATTGATTACTTTACGAATAATGGAAAATCCTTTAAAAATGAGACGTTCAGGCACTTCTATAGTTTTGAAAAACATCCATACTTAAAGAAGTATTGACATAAACTTTATTTAATTTTAGCCACAGTAATTGGTTGTTGTTATAGTAGTTTTGAGTAATTATTTCAACTAATTTCGAACATCTTTTTAATTAAGTTAGTGAGATTAAGGTCACTATTACAAGAATAATTTTTAGAATTGACTTCTAAAATAAACTTCAAATATTTCACAAGTGATTACACTGGAATATTACAAAAAATGTGGTATAACTATGAATTATTTTCCAAATTCGAACGTCGTAAGCTTAGAACCTTGGTGATGTCCATCCAGCGTTTTGTCGACAGCTAAAGCAGGCTTCGCCAGAGCTTATTGAGGTGCTTCTCGTAATACGAAATAAAAATTACAGAAAATATTAACTTACCTATTTTGTTGACTTCGCCAAGTTGATGACAGGGTTAAAGGACAATGTTTGAAGAATTTATAAAAGAAAAAAAAAAACAACAAAAGATCATAATTCAATAGATATATTGTATTGATAGTTCACAGCGGAAGCTGTAGTTCACCCACATAATGTATGTATGTATGTATGTATGCATCTATGTATAATATAGTTCTGTTTGAAAGTAACATGGCAAATAGCAAAATAAAGTGTGGCAAACAGTACCGGGTGATGTAACACGAAGCATATTACAAATGGTAATATTGTATAATATAATTATAATAAGGCATCTCACTTATATGCTAATCACACATACAGGAATATCTCTACCTGCACAATTACCACACACCTGTGGTAAGGGTGCACTTTCGAAAAGTTATATACAAAGTGTTTCGTGGAGAACCGTGTTTAAAGTAAGTAGAAAACGTAAAAGAATTTTGTAAAAATAATTTTGAAATTTTAAGTGCCATTTTATTTTCCTTTTGATACATACGCAGGTACATAAAAGAAAAGGAAAGGGGCCACAATGTCCTTATCAAAAATTTGAATATTTTGGTGTAGATTTTCTAGAAGAATATTATGTTCTAAGTATATAATTAAATTTTGAAAGACAAACAAAGCCTTCTTTAGGGCAACATCAATGTGATTAGAACCCCCCCAATATAGTTCTGTTTGAAAGTAACATGGCAAATAGCAAAATAAAGTGTGGCAAACAGTACCGGGTGATGTAACACGAAGCATATTACAAATGGTAATATTGTATAATATAATTATAATAAGGCATCTCACTTATATGCTAATCACACATACAGGAATATCTCTACCTGCACAATTACCACACACCTGTGGTAAGGGTGCACTTTCGAAAAGTTATATACAAAGTGTTTCGTGGAGAACCGTGTTTAAAGTAAGTAGAAAACGTAAAAGAATTTTGTAAAAATAATTTT